AAGCTTTTTAATAGAAAAAGCTCAAAAATTAATTTTTTCGTCTTTATAATAGCAAAATACTGCTATTTTAATACGTTTGCGACTATAATTTTCTACGGGACAAAAACCTCGTCAAAAACGTTTTCGAAAAAATAATCAATTTATTTCCTTATTAAAATCGAAATTAATTACAGTAGAATTCTCCACGGTTCGCGGTGTAACAGAATCCAAGGTAAATACTCACTGGTCTTCGATCTGGGTTCCCTGGGCCCATCCACGGTCACTTTGATGGCTTTGGTGTAGGTCGCGACCTGTGGCGGCGTCGTCGACACCGTAATCGTAATCGAAAACGATTTACCTGAAAAACAAACAAAATTTCAGCTGACTCACCCCGCCATCACTTAATTAACTCAAACATAACGAGCTTAAAATCACCAAAACCGAACCGTGCGGTTACACTCATTACACGTTTTTTTTTTCGATTTTCTGTGGTGGCAACACCGTTTTCTGAAAATGCGCCGCTTATCTTATCGCAGCAGGTTGTGGCCAACGGCCAACCTGGATGTGGTCATCTTATCTGTCCGAAAATACGTTTTCCACTAAAAAAAAATCGGGTGTAAATCTCAGGAGGTGACAAATTGGTCGTAAATCAGTTTGAGGTTTACGACGAGCGAAATATTGTTATACATTTTAAAAGATACAGGGTCGCAGGAAAAAAAGTCAAAAGAATTGCAAGTCAGCGAGGTTTATGAGAAAATCAACAATGAATTATTCAAGTAATTAATTCGAACAAAAAATTTAATTTCAAATTCGAGCGACAATTTCCGCAAGGTTTGGCGTTTTTGGGGGAATTTTCACCAGGGCAAGGTCGATGGAAGAAAAAATCGACAAAAATTGGACAAAAAGTGTTTAGTTACAAGGAAATAGCTCAAAATTTGAATAAAAAAAATATTATTTGATGAAAAAATCACGAAACTGGAACAAATCATTTATTTTTATTTTTCTCAAGCTATCTCAAGGAAAATAATGAATTTGTTTTGATATAACAGGGGTACCAAAATAAAGTCCCTTTTTACTGAAATGTTCCCAAATAAAAAGTTTGAAATTATGCGTGTTGTTGTATCTTAAACTAATAAAAAAAACATTTTAACAATTTTTCGAAATAAATATGACTATATTTAAACTGAAACGTTAGTCTGTTACAAAATGTGACCCCTTGTCACTTAAAAAAAAATCAAGTTAGTTTCTCTAAAACAATAAGAGTAGAAATTAAAAAATTAATTAAAAAATTTCTACAATGTACCAAATTTCAGTTCAAATTGATAAACCGTTTTTAGAATACATATAAATGCACCCATCTTTTATAGCGACCCTGTATATTAAAAAAAATATTTAAAGGGATTTTTTAAAATTAATTTCAATATACTAGAATA